GATCAGAAACCTTTTCAAGCAGTCCTATACTTTCAAATACTATTTGATGAAATATAGATGTATAACTGAACTCAAAATTATGAGTTCACATGTCAAGTTAAAGTTTTTGAGCATTTAAAAATAAATCTATTCTTCTACTTCCTCCGACGGATTACTATACGCCTTTTGATAAGAAACTTATTATTGTGTAATTTCATAAGTGATGTGTACATCTCACATAGTAGGATAAAGTGACTTATGTGACAGAAATTCAATGAATAAATTTTTATAACTAATCAAAACAGTATTATCAAGTAGGATGGATATAAATTCAAATGGGAATTGCATATCAAACAAAAAAGGTTGAAAATTGCTAAAATATTTTTTCTTACTAAAACTTCACTGTTAGTGGACTAGTTTTTGTTAAATTTATAAATGTTAGCCTATTTATTTTTTCCTATTTCACACTAAGATCGTCAAATGTATATGAAACATCGATCGAAACTGAGTCGGATATTGCCCAAATCATCGTCTTCTTATTAACCTCAAATAATATTTTTCTCAGGCGAAGATATTGATGTACATAGTGTTTCAACTTCTGTGTACATGTCAAAGTGAAAGAATAGCTATTTACCCTTTTTTTGGCCTACATGTGTTGAGGGTTTCTTTGCTCAAATTAAATCGTAAAGTCGGCCAATAATTGTTCTATATTCGTTTCATTCGTTATCAGCCCATCTATTTTGCCTACACCAGGTACATAATTTTCATATACTTCAACCCAATTCAAGCGCTGTCTTATTCGATACTTATGCCAGTCAATAGCCCTTTGAATTCTCCACTCATGAGATCCCACAGCAAGCCATTTTGTTAGAAAACTACAGTAGTGTATAATTCGTTTTGAGTTGTAAACCGTTCAGATTTTGAAATTTATAATTCCAACACTCAATTGTGCTATGAATGCCACTGTTTATGGGCAATACACAAGGGGGAAAATGCAAACTTTAAAGCATAAAGTACCGTAAAGTTCTGTAAAGTATCAAAGTAGTTTAAAGTACGGAGAAGTAACGCCAAGTATAGTGAAGTGTGTAAAAGTAAGTCAAAGTATGTCAAATTCCCTTGAAAGTACAGCAAAGTACTTCAAAGTATGTCAAAGTCCCTTGCAAAGTACTTCAAAGTAACGTAAAGTACATTAGAGTTTGTCAAAGTAGCGTAAAGCACATTAAAGTTTCTCAAAGTTCGTGAAAGTAATGCAAAGTAGTTTGAAGTTCGTCAAAGTAGCAAAGTAGTCTGAAGTTTCTCAAAGTAGCATGAAGTAGTTTGAAGTTCGTCAAAGTAACGTAAAGTACATTAAAGTTGCTCAAAGTTCGTCAAAGTGAGGGGAAGTATTGTAAAGCATTATGAAAGATCTGGAAATGGACGAAACAAAATTAAATTACGTTGGGAAAATATGAATGATTGCTTTATCTGTTTAGAAAAAAGAAAAAAATCACTATCTAAAGACAAAAAACGGAAGTAATAGGTTTATTAATCAACATCAGCCGTTTGCTTCATGACACGAGCTAAACGATCATTAGATAGTTTCGTTAAATTGTTCGTTAGCAGCCAACAGGCTGGCTATTTGTGGAGATATTTAATGTTGTCATTTATTTTGATTTTGAAGTATGACTGCTTTAAAGCGGGATTAATATAGCCAACAATCCTTATTCCATTAAGGTCGAATTTTGTTGAATTCAATAAGTCTTCCTCATCACTACTATCGTTATTTTGAGGGTCAAATACAGTTCCATCATTAAGCTCAACTTGTGTATTATCTTTAATATTATCATCATCGTTCTCCTCATCCAATCGAAACTCTTCACCGATATCAACAGGTACTTCACTCTAAAAAAAATTGGGTATTTGCTACTATCGGAAACTCATTTAGAGTTTCCGTTAGTAGCAAATACCCAATTTTTTTTAGAGTGTTGGGAAGAGTAATTAATCATTCTTGAATTTTTACTTAATACATCAAATATATATTTACTCAAACTGTCTAAACTGTTTATTCAATATTGATTTAATACATCTAACATTTTCTTCTTCTGTTTTAACTCATTTTAACTCGTGTGTGATTGTTTATGTTTTACCCAGCGGTGGCGCGAATCAGCCAACACTGAGGGGAGGGTATAACGAAATTTTTTGAATTCTTGGGGGCAGGAGGTGCAGCGAAATTTTCTGAATTTTTGGGAGGGGTGTAGCATTATCTTTGGTAAAAAACCTAAGAAGATCTGCCGATTTTGCTGACTAAAAATAGAAATTTTCGACAGTTGGAGGGATATCACACCCCTGACATCCCCTCCGGCCGGTCGCGCCATCTCTGGTGTTACCTTTTATCTTTTTTTAAATAAATCATTAAAGTGCTTATGTAATACTATAATTTATGTAGCTTTTCTTTTTGCATATGTTGATTTTTTTAATATCATATTATTATTTAGCAAAAACAAAACGATCTATGATCATGATATCTAGAATATATATCTGCAGTTATATTAATAAACTGTGAAGTGGTTTGAAGTAACTGGAAGTTGCTTAAAGTAGTTCAAATTGGCTCGAAGTCCTACAAAGTAGCTTAAAGTAGGCTAAAGTAGTTAAAGTAAGTTGAAGTAGTGTAAAGTGATATAAAGTACGTTAAAGTAGACTAAAGTAGCCTAAAGTAGCGTAAAGTAGCATAAAGTAAACTAAAGTAGCGTAAAGTAGCATAAAGTAATTTTAAAGTAGCATAAAGTATTTTAAAAGTAGCGTAAAGTAACTTAAAGTAGTGCAAAGTAGCACAAAGTAGTGCAAAGTAGCACAAAGTAGTGCAAAGTAGCATAAAGTGGCTCAAATTCACTTGAAGTGCAAAAGTTTGCATTTTCCCCCTTGGCAATACACCTACGCCTACCATCCCCGAGGTGTGAGCTACCCCTGTATCTCTATTCTTACGCTAACCTATTTTCTTATTAATTGTCTTCAGTACATCACGTATCCTATCCTCAGTAATGAAATTCAGAAATAATTATTTTAATTGACTTTATCTTCATTTAGTTCAAAATTCTGGCCAGACTTTGTTCACTTTCGCAAGAAACAATCTTGAGCACCCAGCTTGATATTGGTAACAATGAGTTTCTCACCATTTCTCTTCTTCCTGAAGCGCAAGTTCAATCTGAAGTGAATGCTACTGTCGAATTCTTGAAAAACAGTGCTTCTACTTGAATCATATCATTCTTGAATTATCTGAGAATTACGACTCAAGCAAACTACTTAATTACGGCTCTCAACACAAATGCAATAATTGCAATAAAACGACTTCCAAGCTCATATAGTTTTTCCGGATATCCAACAGCATATAATGTATTCATTACTGGCGACTCCTATATTGGTTGTAATAATGCAAATCCGTCAACTGAAACGTTTTTCTCTTCAGATCCAGCAATACCGTTTTTTTTAATGCATGCATTGTGGAATTTTCCTCGTTTTAACACTACAATGGTTGATGGATTCTTTGCAGGATGTACGCCTCTTGAAAGTATTCTTCAAAGCACACTTGATTGTTTGTATGACATCATATGTGTTCAGTTCTTGCTCAACTACTTTCCAACTCTTAATCAAGTGTGTATGATATTGTTCAATCAATCTCATACATTTCTTTTATTTAGATGCAAGCCAACTGGACCAATTCTGTTCTACCTTCGAAACAACAAAATGCTTCCGTGTACGATTATTTGAATAATATTTTTGTCGAAAATTGGCCAACACAAATGAATTATTCAAAATACTTCGAGCAATGTGCTCCTTCATACTGTACATACACCACACCAGATCAGACTGATGTATCTTATGCAATTACTTTACTCGTTAGTCTTTATGGTGGTCTTATTATCATATTTCGTTTGATTGCACCATTTCTGATTAATATCTTACTAAAAATCAGAGATCGTTTAAGAAACATAAATATTAATTTGGGTATGTTTTAAATATACTAGGAAAACGTTCATCCTAAATTATTTTGTTTAATATGATTTTTAGCGACTCAAAGCACACTTGTAAACAGATTTTCTCAAACAATGAAGCGATTAAATTTGTTTAAGGTGGTTGATGACCGACACGAAAGTAGTATCAAACAACAGAAGATTATCACACGTATCTATTTGCTTTTATTGACCGGTATGATTGATTTCATTGCGCATTTCTATCCTATTTCTAAAGACAAAAATACGTGTATTTGCTAAGTGAGAGTAATAGGTTTTTGTTCCGTTGCTGAGAAACCACCTAGGAGAATCATTCCAACAGTCGGATCCTATTGAAATTTCTGTAAGACCGACACAGTTCTACAGGAGTAGTGTTGGTGGAACAACATCTTGAGGGTGAGTGTGGGTAGATGAGTGTTGGTACTATACATTGATATCGGATCCACACACACACCCATGCCGACACCCACACACACATTCGCTCATAGAAGATGTTTTCTAAGTGAAATGAGAGATGAAGCTTAAGACGTATTTATATTAATCTTTGAGTTCTCTCACATTCTTTTATTCTCTTCCAATTCCTTCAGTGCTGATTTAATCATGAGTTCGTAGTTTTCATAACTTCTCGATGCATTGGTGTACATGAATTCTAAAGTTGTTTTGATTATATAAAATGAAGTCTTCATTTCTGTTTGATTAAGAAACGTTAAATGCCATACAAAACCTTATTATCGATGATCTGTCGCTATTGACGTATTAATGTTTTTCTTTGTATTATTAGGGTCATTATCCATTCTTCTTCTCTTCACTTCACTAAGCACCCAAACGATTACTATATCAGTACCAACGCCATCGTTAACCACTTACAACGACTTGGCAGTGTCGCATTCGGATACACTCAAATGTCCTTGTTCAATTGTAGCAATACCTTATCAAAAGTTCGTATCATTTTCCCCCACCTTGCATCAAGTGTGTACAAGTGATTTTGTTGACGATCGGTGGCTGTCAACATTGATTGAGATTACCAATATTAATATGAGAACTGATTGGCGTACGACAATTGGCCCACAGTTTTCTTTGTTGTTGGATCTTTGTCAACTGGCTAATAATACAATACACGATGCTGTTCATCGGTTTCTTCTGCAATCATTTGTCGCTTCAACTGTACTAAGTGAAGACAATTTAAATACACAATTAAATGCAACTTTCAACCAACTTTTTCTATCAACAACTGTCAATTTTGGATTTCTTGCCGACATAGTACAACTTCTTATGCAAGTTGATCAACCTTTTATGGGATCAGTACAATTTAGTTTTACTTCATTTGTTGCAAGCTTAAGTGCAGATATAACAACGAATGGAATGCTAATTGATTTAGCAACACCGGTATGTCGAGGAACTTTAAGGATTTCTTTTTTCGAAGTTTTTCTACAAACTTAATTACACCTCTTATCATCAACCGGAAGAGATTGACGATTGAATTAAATAGCTAACTGAAGGTGAATATTGACTCTTCAGAATGATGATTTTTCTTTGCAAAAGTTAAAATGTATTCTATACTCACAAAAAAAACTAATTACAGTCCGTATTTCAGCTAAATCGTTAACATAAAAATATATTTGAAAAGCAATAATGATATATTCTGAAAGCGCATGGAATTTTCTATCACTCTCTACACATGCATTTTTCTTTGCATTTTCCATTATCAAACAAACTTCAGCACAATGAAAACACTCCCATGTGCGGATTCCCACAGACTTGATTTTTGCAGTGCCGCCAAAATTTGTTTTTTGTTTTTTATTACTATAGATTTATATTTCTGAAAAAGTAAATATATCTCTTGATAGAGCTGGAAATTCTCTATCATTCTATTTATTTGTTTTTTTTATCCTGTTTTGTAAAAAAACTTGAGAATAAGAAAAAATCTTGGGTGTGGATATGACTATGGATAAAAGAAGAGTAAAACACCCACACTCACACTCTCAAGATGTAAATGCAAAAGTTCAGAAGGAACAAGAATATATAATTCGAAACAATTTTTGTCGATCCAATAAGAAAAAAGTAACGAGAACAAATTTTTAATTTTTTCTTAATCTCATTTTTTGTACTATAAACACAACTGATTAAGCTTTACAAGTTAGGATAACTTTGAGCTAAGTCAAAGATACCGGTATTTTTCATGGGAGAAACTCTATGAAGATGGTTCACAGCTCTGTTTTTTAGATATCATTTCTTTTGAACGGACCTACTGATATCAATACGACCAAAATCAACTGTATTTGCGCAACAAATTCTCAATGTGAAGATCCAGTCGCTATCTACTTCAACGATTATACTAATGACGCTGATCATTCCGAACCTGAGATCACTCATGTAATTCCAGGATCGGTAGCTGGCTGCTCTCCTATTGATTCTCTTCAACTTTCGACGCTTGAATGTTTCTATTCTGATTCAGATTGTTTTTCGGTCGTAATGAGTATCATACAACAAACGTATATTAATGCTGCTCCAGATCCAATGTGGTTTGATGCACGTCCACTCATTTATGATCCAACATCGAGTCGCTTTCGTCCAAATACCTCAGTTAAAATGATAATTAACGACATTATGATCGAACGATGGAATCCATCTACTTCATATGAACATTTTTATGGATTATGTGCACCAAATTACTGTACTTATTCTCAAAAAGGTCAAAGGAAAACTATTTTAGAAGTAGCAGTAGTATTGGCATCATTAGTTGGTGGTCTTATTGTCTCCTTACGTGTAATTACACCTCAACTCGTAAAGTTCTTTATTGGTTTGTTGGGAATTATAAACAAAAGACGCCAACAACAAGGGCAACAAAGAGGTACTTGTTGATTTTTTGTCTATAGAATAATTATTTTTACGATCGAATTTCCATAGGATGTGTAAGAAAATATATTTTCTTCATGTTCTCTAACTTTTAGTAAAATCTGACAATGAGATTTTCTAATACATTCGCGATTATTTCGAGGTCCATGTTTACGAATGTCGTAAACGATAGTTTACAATCGTTTTCGTTATATAAACGGTCTTATAGCACCGTAACTCCGCGTAAACCGCTGATTAAAATTCAAATTGAGAAAGTTAAAATCTTAGCAAAAAAATGTTTTCAAGAATTTTCTCATCAATAGAATTTTTTATCCCAGAAATATCCCTACCATGAGATTTTTCTAAAATTTTTAATCCTATTCAAACAGCCATTGAGGTTTACTTTCTTGATTGTAAATTCTCAAAAAATATCTTTATTTTTGCAGTGGTTCTTCGGATTTTTCGTCGGTTTGAAATCTTTAAAACTCCATTCAAGGCAACACTAATTAGTTAATCAATTAAGATAAATGTTAACCTGTGAAAACTTCTTATACTCTCGGTTTTGAGAAGTGTGAGAACATATTGATAAAATATAAGATAACTTTAAATCACCTATCTTAGAATTGGTTTAAAATATAAGAGTGGATTGTCAACGTTAACGATCGTTGACGGCGTACGTATAATTGGTGTAAGCGAGTAACGTGACCGGCTATTGTATTCTGTTGTACTTCATTGACATACGACTAGATCTGATTGACATAAGTTGTTAGATGAGATTTTCAATATGAAAGAGTGTTTCACTGATGTAATCTATAGAGAATTTTTTTGATCGGAGCAGCTTGAGCTTTGTACTTATTTCATAATCAGAGAGAATATAGAATTTGTCTTTTTGTACATAGTTCGTCGCAAGTGGTTCGATCAATTAAAATTGATCAGTCGACAATTGATCACTTTTACGTACACCAAATCGATTGGTCTAAATATATTTCCTCTACGAGATTTTGGCAGTAATATTGATCAAGGAACAGCTAAACGTCTCGGTCAATAGTCCACTCGTCTCTACATGGGTCTGCTTGTCATTAGTCTTGCTATTCTTGCCTTATATAGCCTTGTTCAACCTCAAAGTCTGACCAAAGCTTTTAATAGACCATCTTTCGATTTATATCATCAACTCAATGAACAT